ATCTATCTATCTATCTATCTATCTATCTATCATCTATCTATCTATCTATCTATCTATCTATCTATCTATCTATCTATCTATCTCCCACTCTCTCTCCCCAGTTCATTTAATGACTGTTCGAAGTTACAGGGACACTGAAAAAGTGACTTATGGCCATTTTTCACACTTATGACCGCTGCAGCATCCCCATTGTTACAGGATCAAAATTCAGATGCTTGGCAACTGATTCATATTTACAACAGTTGCTGTATCCCAGGGTCATCCATTTGAGACCTTCTGACAAGCAAAGTCAATGGGGAAGCCAGATTCACTTAACAACCTGGTTACTAACTTATTAGCTGCAGTGATTCACTTAACAACTGAGGGAAGAAAATGGGGCAATACTCATACATTGAGGACTACGTGTAGTTTACACACACACACACATACACACACACACACACACACTATCAGAATGGTAAATCTATGTGCCATGCCATCTCACATAATATAATCTGTGGATATGTATATATATACATACCCTGCTTTTAATCCAGCAGGAATCATTTCAGAAAGGATCATTCAATCAATCGAAGGGTCAAGAATCAAAGGGCGTTTTTTGAAATGCTCATTCTTCTCCAGTTGAAACTAGGGTCTTTTCACACCTCTGATTGTCTGCTTTGGGTCATTTATTTAAGTACCTCTGTTGGAAGAATTATCTTTCTGGGTTCAGTTCCAAGTGGGGGGGAAAGACACTGGAGACATGGAGGCTGTTTGGAAAGATGGTTTAATGGTGGACAAAGATCACATGCCTTGGAGCTCCAAAGTAAAAAGGACAACCCCATGCTTCAAGATGTTGGGTGAAAGAAAAGAAGGGGCAAGATGCTGAGAGACCCTTAGTTTTATATCCTCTGTTGGGCCCCACCTTAGTGTTTCCTGTTCCTGGGCAAGAAATGTATCCCATTGGCTGTCAGACTCCCAGGGGTGGGGGTCTTAGCTAACTTTGTAGGCTTTGTCTGGACCACATGGTTTCACCTGAGTGCTGGCTGATGCAATCTTCCCAGGCTAGGTGGTGAGATGGGTAGAGGGCTTTGTTATGTAGAATATGCTGGCCTAGGCCTTAATGGCCCCCCCATTAACAAAGGTGTGGGTAAGCTTCTGCTTCTGAGGTGTTTCTGCTGAGTTTCTACTTGTTTTTTAGGGGAAATATTCTGCCTTTTTCGTATATCCTAAATATGTCACTTTCCTAGGAGAGGGGTGGGTTTTAACTTCTAACGCTTCGTTAAGTGATAATTCCTGGGATCCCTGCAAGAAGGAAAAGTGATGATAAATTCTGCCTAAAATTTCACTTTCATGTCTGCTTTGATAATATTTCTCTGAATCCTTCAGAACGTCTTATTCTCTCATCGCTTACAAGTCCCCAAAATCATCAAATTTGGAAATGCCCTTTTCTTTAGAAAAAAAGACACCCTCCCGCTCTCTCCTACCAAATATACATAGTTTATCCTGAAATATATTTTAAACCCGAGCAAATCTCCAGTTTCTTTTAAAAAAATCATGCTTTATTTTCTATCCACACCTAACATGTACTCTTACAAGATTGGCATATTGTAAATTATATATTTAGCATGATTATAACATGTAACTAAGGAATTTGCAACGAAGAGGGCGAGGCTATTACTTTAAAGAAATCTTCAACCCTGTTATGAAGTCTGGGAATTCCTCCAGTAAGCAGACACTCAATTTCTAACCACTTAAGAAACTTAAGTACCAGTAAAATTTCTCTCACAGTATGTAAATTCAGAGTTCATGCCTCTACATTCATTTGGGGATTGGCCTGGCATATGCCAAGGCACATTTATCAGTAAACAAGCCAAAAAGATAATAGGTTTTTAAAAATCTGAATAGGTATATAGAATAGCACCATGAGAACTTAATGTATTGGTACGACTACTCTTAGATGTTGCCAAACCATAACTCGTTGGAGTACAAGTCAACCATGACCTACAGTGAAAGTTATTCTACATTCAATGGTCTAGGGATTATATTTAGAATTACAGCCCTAGAGAGATATAAAATATAGCAAGCCTAAGATTGTGATGCATTTGAAGTTTAAAGGAAGACTTAAAAAAATTCTGAATCATCGTGATTTATGGATCTTTGTTTACGATATATTGTAATGACTACCAGTCCCGATGTCCTCCTCCTTGAAACTGTACTCAGGAAGTTTGATGACACCAAAACTTCTGAGAGCGGTTTGCAACATGGTGATGTTGGGAAATTCTAAGTTTCTAGCTTCTCTGAATAGAAGTAGCTGAACGATAGGGAAAAGGTTGATACCATTTACCATGCAGAGTAGAGAAGTGAAAATGAACGGTGGGGTATTGGAAGTTAAAACCCACCCCTCTCCTAGAAAACTGAAATATTTCAGGATACACTAAAAAGGCAGAATATTTTCCCTAAAAGAGAAGTAGAAACTCAGAGAGGCAGAAACTCAGCCCCCCCCCATCTTTGTTAATTGGTCATTAAGGCCTCAGCCAGTCTATTCTACATAACAAAGATCTACCTCCTTCAGACAGAGCCATAACAGGAATTGCACAAAGCCCTTTCAATTACATCATCACCCAGCAAGAGTCAACCAAGCCTGAGGACTCAGGACAGTTTACAGAGTTGCCTCTGCATGGCCCCATCATGGGAGTCTGACAACCAATCGAAACACAAGCTCAAATTCAAAAGCCCAGAGAGGGTATAAAACCCAGGGACTCTCAGCATGCCTTCCCCGTTTTTTCCTTCACCCAAAGCATGTGATCTTGTCCACCATTAAACCATCTTTCCAAGCAGTCACCATGTTTCCAGTGTCTTTCTTCCCCACTCGGAACTGAACCCAGAAGGATATTTCTTCCAACAGGGGAATTCCAGGAGGCCAAAGCAAGAAGACCTTCACAAAGTACACATTGACACTTTGGGATTCGGTGTTGCACGCTTGGTGAATTACAAATCCCAACTGTCCTAGAAGAATATCGGGAGAAACATGTCTACAAGGATGAGGCCCATAATTTCTTCAGGCATCACAAAAGGACAGTTTGAAAAGGGGATTAGACAAACTAAAGAGAAAACTTCTGATTAAAAAAGCCATTTTACTACTGATATGACAGATTAAATTAGTGTCTGTATAAATTAGGATTATGACTTCATGGTTTACCTGCCAGTTTCCTAATTTCCCTACGAGACTTCTCTAGTATGAAACTTGTGATATGAACCAACAAGGATCCCCTTACTATTTTGTAAATGTGGTGGATGTGATCTCATCTGCTATTGTCAATCTTTTATCATTTATCATTCCTTTTTTTGTTTCAAGTTTTTTATTTTTATAGCATATAAAAATTCCAATTTCAAGTGAACAGTGTGTTGCCTGGGTACAAATGTTTTTAGGATATAATAATCAAAATGTTTACAATATTCATTACGTTGATGTTAATTATAGTATCAATAATAATAATAATATTTACTTAACCAATTCAACATGCCTTCCTTATATCACTGATCCTATCCATCTGTTTCCCTGTATCTAGCTCCTGTTTTTTTTCCAGCTAGCCATTGATAAAATAAGTCCCAAGTCAGAAAGTATTCACTTTTCTTCTTTGCCTTGATTATAAGTGTTAGCCTATCCATTTCTGCACATTCTAATATTTTTTAATCACATTTTCATCTGTTGGGATCTCTTCATATTTCCATTGTTGCGCAAATACAATTCTAGTTGCAGTCAATATATATAAAAGCAAATATGCATTCCCTTTATTATATTGACCGGGAAAATGCCCATCAAAAATATCTCTGGTTTCAATGTGCTGTTTTATCATTTTTTCCCAGCCATGTATGGATTTTGTCCAATGTTTTTTCGCTTTTTGACATGTCCACCACATATAATAATGTGAGCTGGGTGTCTCGTGACATTTCCAACATTTTGCAGACTTATCCTTAAACGTCATTTATCATTCCTAAATCATAGATTTAGTTCTGTCTCCAGTTCTAAAGAAGTAAGAATGAGAGTCAAAATAGGTCTTTGTGTACTGCAGATTTCTCCTGGGATTGTTCTCTGAATCAGCAGACAAGAGTCACCGCAACAAATATAATCACAAGACATTCTTCAATGCAGCCACAATGCATCTCAATTCCCTATTTTAGCAACAGTTCCTATCACATAAAGGGGATAAGAGGGACAGAAAAATGGAACAATCTCAGCTCTATCTTAAAGTGGTGGGATTTGGGAGAAAAAGTCTAATATTGGACAGCCGCTGTTCAGAAATATTCTGTCCAGTTGACTATCCCTTCTTTCTTTTACCCTTTCACTCACCTTGTGAACCCTCTGTCTGAAACTATGAACGTCCCCTTAAAGTCACAATACTTTCCTCTTGTGACCAGAAGCACCCGTTTTGATGGCAAAAAATAGAATTGACTGACAGTCTGGATAGTAAAAACAGAGCAAGTTTTTAACATATTAGTTCCACTTCTCCAAAAGTCCTTATGCAAGAAGACTCTCTTGGATGATTTGTTTCATTTGGCACCCTTAAATCAGCTCTCTTATTGACAGAAGGAATTGGCTGAAGGTGGGAAGGTGGCCCAGATAAAAACAAAACAACTGACGGCGTGATAATCATGCCATGAAATAAACTTCTGATTCCCAAACTTCCTAGAAATATCCTTGGATGCTTACAAGATATCTTACAATACTAAGGCAAGATCACCTGAATCTTCAGGTCTATTCATGGTGCTATTTTGGTGGCCATTCCAGATATGAAGAGCTTTTCCCGTTCAAAAGTATTCTACCGTTCCAGAATGATCCAGAAGGTCTCTCTGCATTGCAGTTGGTATCTGTTCTGATTTACTTTATTTGAAATAAAAAATTACATCAGCAAAAACTCCAAAGACTCTTAGCCTAATCCAGGGGTGTCAAACTCAATTTCATTGAGAGCTGCATCAGGGTTGTGTTTGACTTTGGGGGCCAGGGTGGGCATGGCTACCTCGACATCACTCATGTCAAGGGTGCTCTGCCAGCGAAAACAGGCTCCCAAGTGTCTGCCAGCGAAAACAGAGCTTGGGAGGGTGGCTGTTATGTTTGGAGAATAATGGAGACCAGACATCTGACCAGTGACTTCAACTCTTTAATAACAGTAAATAGAACAGAACAGAGCAAGGCTATGGGGCAGCAGTAACCCTTTTATAGGGTTGGCTGCTACCTTATTAACCAATAATATGTGCAACAAGTTCAACTAATACCCAATAAGAAGTGTCCTAATATTGGCCAATCAGGGACTTGTTATGGACCAATCCTTATACGTTGTTTAAGGACCAATCAGGTGTGCAGGCTTTCAAAACCTGCTTTGCATTTAGGCTAGTTACTTTTTATTGATTCACAACAGTGGCCTTCTTTGAGCTCCATTTCACTGGCAGAGGCACCATGGGCCAGTCCTTTGTTGTTTCGCGGGTGGCCCCGCAGGCCAGATCTAAGCACCCCATGGCCCAGATCCAGCCTCTGGGCCTTGAGTTTGACACCCCTGGCCAGTGGTGGGATTCAAAATTTTTAACAACCGGTTCTATGGGCGTAACATAGGTGGTGAGCGTGGCTTGGTGGTCATGTGACTGGGTGGACATGGCTTGGTGGTCATGTTATTGGCTGGGTGTGGCCAACTCAATATCACTCATATTGAGGCACACATCTCCTCGCCTGGCCTCTCATGACTGTGGGGATGCTGCAACAGTCGTAAGTGTGAAAAACGGTCATAAGTCACTTTTTTCAGTGCCATTGTAATTTTGAATGGTCACTCCACACAAGCAAAGTACCAGCAAAGGAGAGGAAAAAAAAACTCCAGAGAAGTTCCTGAGACAGGAAGTCTAGTCCTGCCAAGAATGTAATAAGGGTTAACGGAGAGGCAGTTTCTGTAAGCAACACCAGAATGTTTCCTTCCTGCCTTCCTTACAGGATTAGGCCAGTAATTTCTTTTAACAACCGGTTCTCCGAACTGCTTAGAATGTTAACAACCGGTTCTAGCGAATAGGTGCGAACTGGTAGAATCCCACCCCTGCCCCTGGCCTAATCTGTGCCCAGGCTGAGTGGCTTAAATGTCATATTCTTCCAACCTCAAAGAAAACGACAGATAGTCCTTGACTTATGATCACAATTGGGACCAGAATTTCTGTTGCTAAGTAAAACTGTTGTCAAGAAGAGATTGAACTGCCATTTGTCAGAAATGGTGTAGGGTTGGGCGGGGAGGTTAGACTAGGTGACCTATAAGGTCTCTTCCATCTCTGATTATCTATTATCTAACTGAGCTGTGTTTGATTTAATAACCATTTTACCACGAATCATTGGTGTTGTGAAGTGAACCAGGCAGTCGTGAAGTGGGACTGGCCTCCCCCATTGACTTTGTTTGTTGAAAGCTGGCTGGGAAGGTTGCACATGGGAATCGTATAACCCTGGGACACTGTAACCATCATCATAAATACAAGTGCCTGAATGTTTATAGCAATAGTACTTAGACTTATATACCACTTCACAGCGCTTTACAGTCCTCTCTAAGCAGTTTACAGAGTCAACATAATTGCCCCCAACAATCTGGATCCTCATTTTACTGACCTCGGAAAGATGGAAGGCTGAGTCAACCTTGAGCCGGGCAGAATCAAACTGCTGGCAGTGGGCCGAGTTTGCCTGCAATACTGCATTCTAACCACTATGCCACCATGCAGTGACCAACAGCCATAAGCGCAAGGCCTGGGTCGTAAATCACTTTTTTTCATTGCTGTCATAACTTTGAACAGTTACTAAACCAAAAGTTGTAAGTTGAAGACTACCTGTATTTGTCCACGTGGAGAAGAAACAGTTGTTACAATCATGGATAGATATTATTTTGAGTATTCATCATCCGATACTGCCCTGGTTTCAATATTCTCCCAAGAAAAAAACCCTCATTCTCACTGTTTCTGAACCCAGGTTTACCTCCTTGGGCTTCTCAGGATCCTGTTGCTGACCACAACCATCCAAAGAGGCTTAAGTTTCAGGGATGCAAACATGGGTTGTCCCCTTGAGGCGTTCTTCCTTGGGCTAATTTCAACACAGTTGCTTTGGAAAGGTAAGTTTAGTTTAGTTTACTTTATTGCCATTGCACCTCGTACAATGAAATTAAATGCTATCTTCAGTGTACAACGTACATAAGAAAACTATAAAAATAAAGCACAAACACACATCCTTCACATTCTATACAATTGAATTGAAAACACCTGATATTGCATTAATCTTGCACTATACAGTAGAATTCAATATCGCTACTGCTCTGGGATAGAAGCTGCTTTTCAGCCTATTTGTTCTTGTTTTTATTATCCGGTACCATTTGCCAGATGATAATAGTTAAAAAAAAGGGGGGGTGCCCAGGATGAGATGGATCTTTGAGAATGTTTTGAACTTTCTTAAGGCAGCGGAAGCTATAAAGCTCTTCCAAAGAGGGGAGAGGGCAACCAATGATCCTCTGAGCAATGATGTTAACCCTCTGGAGTGCTGTCCTATCTGCCCCTGTGCAATTGGCAAACTGAACACAGATGCAGTTAGTCAAGATACTCTCTATGGTGCAGTGGTAGAAGGTCACCAGCAGTTTTTCATTCAGTTGTTGTTTCCTGAGAAGCCTCAGGTAGTATAATCTTTGCTGGGCCCTTTTAGTTTAGTTTAGTTTAGTTTATTGTCACTGCACCTCGTAGAACAAAATCAAAACACCATTTCAGGGCACATCATGACCATAAAAATAAACACAAACACGCATCCTTCACACTCCACACATTGAATTGAAAACTCCGACACCACACCAACACTGCACTATATAGCAGAATGCAAAAGAGCTACTGCACTGGGATAGAAGTTGTTTTTCAGCCTATTTGTCCTTGTTTTTATTATTATCCTGTACCATCTGCCAGATGGTAATAGTTAAAAAAAAAGGTGCCCAGGATGAGATGGATCTTTGAGAATGTTTGGAACTTTCTTAAGGCAGTGGGAGCTATAAAGCTCTTCCAAAGAGGGGAGAGGGCAACCCATGATCTTCTAGGCAATGACGTTCACCCTCTGGAGCGCTGTCCTATCTGCCCCTGTGCAATTGGCAAACCATACACAGGTGCAGTAAGTTAAGATACTTTCTATGGTGCAGCGGTAGAAGGCCACCAGCAGTTTTTCATTCAGTTGTTGTTTCCTGAGAAGTCTCAGGTAGAAGTATCAAGAGCTCGTGGGAAGGTGAGAGGCTGACTCTTGATCAAAGCCCTGGATTAGTTTTTGTCTCCAATGGTGGAAGTGGGACAGGGTGTCCGTTACTGGGTAGCTGAGTTTCTTGTTTTCCATTCTTTGCAGGTGTGATACCTGAAAAAGTAGGGGAGTATTACCTGAAAGCTCCTGATCATGTGTTGGTAGAGGAAGGGCTCTGTGCCATGATTCCCTGCAATTTTACTTATAATAAACAGCATGCCTTGGAGACTGCAGAATTGAAAGGATATTGGAAGAAAGAAGAAAATAATCAAGTTGTGGCCACCTCTACTCAAATATCGGCTGAGAATCACTTTCAACTCATTGGGGATCTGACAGCAGGAAACTGTTCTCTCCTCATCTTGAATGCCCAAGAATCTGATGAAGGGAACTACTTTTTCAGAATGGAAAAAGAACCTAGAGCAAAATACAGCTTTTTCAAATTCGCTAAACCATACCTGAACGTAACAAGTGAGTACCTGGAAATATGTGTGGCCTTTGTCAGAAGCTCCAGTTTTTACCAGCCATTGTAAAATGTTATTATTAACACCCCTCCCTCTGTTATTTATTTTTTGTCCTTGTTTTAGTTCTGCTTTGATAATGCTTTTAAAATAGTTATACGATGGGATGAGGTAATAATCATTTGATACAGTGATTGAATTCTTGGATTGTTGTATGCTGTCCAGAGTTACTTTCTGTCCATACAAATTTGATTAACACATAAATGAATAGAGTTGAGTTGTGTGATGACCCGGGGCGTGGCACAAAGGCAACACAGTCACATAAGTAAGGAAAGTCCCGTTAATACCTCCAACTTTGGCCCCAATGTCTAGTTACCTTCAGCTGGAGAAAACTCTCTCCCAAGAACAGTGTTTAAGTGGAGGAAATTCAGTTCGAAAACAAAGTACATATAAACTGTAAATAAAAATCCAAACAAACCACGCTGCAGCAATTAACTGGATAGGGCAGGATAAGGAATTGCAGACTTCAAAGGCCAACAAAACACACACAGTTGGGAAGACGCCAGGAACCCAGATAAGCCTCAACAAAACAAGATAATACACAATTTGTTTCCAGCAAGTTGCTGTGCGCAAACTCCCTTTTTAAACACTGTGTTCCCAGCTGCAACTAATGAAGGGAGTCAGGGCCCTTTCCTCCCCCATAAGCCACACAACTCAGGTTGCTCCCTTCTCCGTTCCTCTCTGCGTGCCCTAGGATGAAGAGGGGGTGGGCCTGGGTCTTCCTCCGAATTCCGTCTCCCTTGTTCTACCTCTTCCCTGCTCTACCCAACCAGACTTTGCCCTTTCCCACAGCCAATGGAGCCACACTTCTACTCCCTGTCAGCTGCTCAGCCTCCCTCTCGGAATCAGATTTTGACAGGGGTATGACAGGTTGGGGTCGCAGATAACAACCATAACATGCAGGAATAAAGCCACTACCAAATAAAAGAACCTCCCTTCGTCTTTCTCTCTTTCACACATAGACAGAAGCCCAGAAATAAGAGTTCAAGCAATATGATCCACAGACAGCCACAGGCTTAGACCCAGAAACATCAAGGGGTAGTGAAATGCTTCAGGAGACCATTAATATTTCTTTAGTGTTAAGTTTGGAGAATAATGGAGACCAAACATCTGACCAGTGACTTCAACTCTTTAATAACAGTAAATAGAACAGAACAGAGCAAGGCTAAGGGCAGCAGCAACCCTTTTATAGGGTTGGCTGCTACCCATTAACCAATAATATGTTCAATAAGTTCAAACTAATAACCAATAAGAAGTGTCCTAATGTTGACCAATCAGGGACTGGTTATGGACCAATCCTTATTCATTGTATAAGGACCAATCGGGTGTGCACGCTTTCAAACCCTGATTTGCATTTAGGCTAGTTACTTTTATTGATTCACAACACCCCTCCCCCTTGGGTTCCGTTTGAGGGGAGCTGTAACAAAATCCTCAAGATAGACAGGCCGTTTGGTCTGTCTGGATGATTTCCGTGGTTCCACCGGGTTAGGCCTAAAGTCCGGTTCCGGTGGAGCGTTTGGATGATCTCTATTAAGTTCTGTTTCGCTGCACGGTGATTCCGTGCTGCTTTCATTGTGGTTGTCTCCGTTAATCAGTGTTTCTTTGGGGTTTCGCAGTTCGGTTTCCCCCGTGTTTAAGTCCCATGGAAAAGTCAACTCCCTCCCCGCTTCACTACCCGGTACTTCGCTGGGCCGTAGGGTTTCCGTTGGCCTGCTATTTGTCATATCAAAGTCAATTTCCTCGATATTTCCTCCCCCTTCAGTTGGTGAACCCGGGGAGCCTTGGGCGCTGGGTGGTAATCTCGAGCGGAGTTGGTCTATGTGGCGTTTCCACACCCTCCCATCGTCTGTTAGCAGGCGGTAAGATCTCGGCCCAGTAAGGTGGGTGACGGTTTGTTTCTGTAGGAGTGGTTTCCCCATTGGTGGTTCAGTTTGTCTCGGGGTGTGCCGAAGAATCCTGAAGACTGGTATTCGGCCTGTCGGGGTTTGGAGTTTTGTTTGCTTCTGCAAACCTTTGCGATGTGACCTCGTTTCCCGCAAACGTGGCAGAGTGCATCGAGGAATTTGCAGCCGGATCGTGGGTGATTGGCTCCGCATCCTGCGCACGGTCGAAGTGAGTGTTGTGTGGACTGGTCTCGTTCCGTTCGGAGTCGGTTGACCTCTTCCTCATCGCTATCAGACGGGGACTCTAGGTCTTCGTGGTGAGTTGATACCGGGTGTCTCTCTGAGCGAGGCGAGGTATCGTTGGCTTGTTGTCGTGGCGGTGCGCTGGTGCGGCGCATTCGGGCTGCCGATTTTTTGGTTGCCTCCGCTGCAGTGGCTTCTTTAAGGGCATCGGTGAGGCTGATGTCCCCCTTAGCCATGATTTTACTCTGGATCGCACAGTCTTCTAGACCCAGAACTAGACGGTCTCGGAGGGCTTCTTCTAAGTCAGAGAACCCGCAGAGGCCTCCAAGGTTGCGGAGGTCTGCGACGTAGTTGGCAAGGCTCTCACCTTTCCGTTGGTTCCTCTGGTAATATTCGTGCCTTCTGACTAAGGTTGGCACGGTGGGCGCGTAGTGGGCCCGTAGTAAAGGCTCGAGGACGTCCCAGTCCATCGCTTTTACTTCGGCTGGCTTGGCAAGTGATTTCGCCATTTTAAACACGGTAGGCCCGCAGTGGGTTAGAAATATAGCTCTTTTTTTCCCGGTTGTTGCATCTTTCAAATTGTTGGTCTCCAGAAACATCTGGAACCTATCCATGTACGACTCCCAGTCTTCGGTTTCTGGGTCGAATGGAGCGGGTGGTACGGCACCGCTGGCCATGTTGCCGTTGATGGTGCGTGTTCGACCACGTGCTCTGTTGGTTGCTCTGTAGATCAGTCAGCTCTTCGGTCTCCGGATCCCACCTTCGTCGCCAGTGTTAAGTTTGGAGAATAATGGAGACCAGACATCTGACCAGTGACTTCAACTCTTTAATAACAGTAAATAGAACAGAACAGAGCAAGGCTAAGGGCAGCAGCAACCCTTTTATAGGGTTGGCTGCTACCCATTAACCAATAATATGTTCAATAAGTTCAAACTAATAACCAATAAGAAATGGCCTAATGTTGACCAATCAGGGACTGGTTATGGACCAATCCTTATTCATTGTATAAGGACCAATCGGGTGTGCACGCTTTCAAACCCTGATTTGCATTTAGGCTAGTTACTTTTATTGATTCACAACATTTAGTAATATAGATGATACCCACCCCACCCCCCATGGCCTTGATTTCACATGTCACACTAAGCGGTATTTCAGTTTCTTTGATTTATGCTAGTGGGATGTGTAAACCCATCTGATGTAATTTAGAAACTGTGATGTATAGATTTGCCATGTATGAAAAGCCAGTTGTGGATTTCTTAATAAATCATGGTCAAAGACAATTGTGTCCCAGCCTGTTGGTGGAAATCAGCAAAAGAGGGAAAGAAGCACTAAGACTTTTGATCAACAACCAATCAGTGAAGAACCTCCTGAAGAGTTCTTTTGTGATGTGTTTCCTGCCCTCATTTTGCATTTCCTGGGCTGCTGGATCTGTAACTTTTTTATTTTTATTTATTTAATTTGATTTGTCAATCACTTACAAGATAATAGGTATAAGAATAAACATAGTTATGAATACATGAAATGGATACATATAAGAAAAATAAAAGAAGCAATAGGACAGGGACGGTAGGCACGTTGGTGCGCTTATGCACGCCCCCTACAGACCTCTTAGGAAAGGGGTGAGGTCAATAGTAGACAGTCTAAGGTTAAAGTTTTTGGGGTTTGGGGAAGAAACCACAGAGTCAAGTAGAGTATTCCAGACATTGACCACTCTGTTGCTGAAGTCGTATTTCCTGCAATCAAGTTTGGTGCAGTTAACCTTGAGTTTGTATCTATTGTGTGCTCTTGTATTGTTATGGTTGAAGCTGAAGTATTCATTGATAGGTAGGACATTGCAATATATAATTTTATGTACCATACTTAGATCGGACCGAAGGCGGCGTAGTTCTAGATTTTCTAGGTCTAGAATTTCAAGTCTGGTAGCATCAGGTATTCTGCAACAAGTAGAGGAGTGGAGAACTCTTCTTGTGAAATATTTCTGGACATACTCAACTGTGTTAATATCAGATACGTAATGTGGGTTCCAGACTGATGAGCTGTATTCAAGTAGTGGTCTAGCAAATGTTTTTTATGCTCTAGTTAGTAGTGTGATATTACCAGAGCAAAAGCTACATAGGATTAGGTTAACAACTCTTAATGCCTTTTTGGCTATGTAGTTACAGTGGGCTCTAGCACTTAGATCATTTGAGATGAGAATTCCAAGGTCCTTGACAGAGTTTGGATAATCAACAAGGTCTTGACTATTCAGCCTGTATTTTATTTTCTGATTATTTTTTTTGCCAATATGTAAGACAGAGCTTTTATTTGTTGAGATTTGAAGTTGCCATTTGTTTGACCATTCTGATATAGAGCCGAGGTCTTTTTGAAGGGTTGCAAAATTATCTGTGGTGTTGAATAGCTTTACATCATCAGCAAAGAGAACACAGTTGCTCTTAATATGACCAGAATTTGATAGGATGCTCCCAATTTTGATCATTTGTTGTCTGTTTGACAGGAATGCTTCTATCCAGTTATGTAGGTGTCTAGAGATACCATAGGATTTTAGTTTTAGGAGTAGTTTGTCGTGTACCACTGAATCAAAGGCTGTACAGAAGTCTATGTAGATTGCGTCTATTGCTTTGCCCTGATCGAGTTGTGTAGTCCATATGTTTTTGCAGTGTAAGAGTTGCAGATTACAGGATAGTTTTTTTCTGAAACCAAATTGTTTATTAGAGAGTAGGTTGTCTCTAAGTGAAGGATGATGAATTAGTTAATAATTGATTCCATGACTTTACACTTGACGCAGCATAAGGAGATTAGTCTGTAATTTTAAACTAGGCTGGGGTCTCCCTTTTTGAAGATGGGGATGACCGTGGCTTGTGACCATAGTTTTGACAAGGAGCTGGTCCTGAAAGAGTTTTCTAAGATTATGCTTAGAGGTTCGGCTATGGCAGTGGGTAGCTTTTTAAAGAAATAGGCACATATCCCATTGTAGATTCATGAGATGTTGACAAACATGGATTCATGCATGTCCCGAAGGTGTTTTTTTTAAAAAAGGCAACTGGACTTTCTTGACTTTTTTTCTTTGAAAATGTTTTGCTTCTTATCCGAGAAGCTTCTTCAGATGCTTGAGAAGATGCTTGAAATATAGATACCACTCCAGTTGCCTTTTGAAAATAAAAACCACTTTTGATACAACTAGGACCTGGATCACTGAGAATCTTCATAAACATTTGAAATATATAGAAGTTCTGTGGTCATGTTTGGTTGCATAAAATCTTGTGCTCCAAGAGAGGATAAAATCTCAATGGGTCCATCTGACTCATTTGGGAAGGAGCTTGAAAATCAAGCTCAGTGGATGGGTAAGAACGTAGTGCTGGAATAACTTTCTCCTGATTCCTCTCTTCTCTTCTTAGAAGGACAACTACCAGAAATACAGATCTTGGGGACGTTGAGAGCAGGATATTCTACAAAGATCACCTGTGCAACTTTTGCAAGCTGTAGTTGGATGCCTCCAAAGTTCACCTGGAACGGCTTACCCGAAGGCATCGAATCTCCTTTGCAGCTTAATGGGACCCAGGTTTACTCAGTGGTGGATTTCTTACCTTCTGTTGCAGACCACAAGCAGAATATCACCTGCAGGGTCAATTACACAAATGGGAGCAATTCTGTTTCCAGAGAGACAACCATCCAACTGAATGTCACTTGTGAGTGATCCTTTCTAGGACTGCATGGGTTCAAGCCCTGAATCCCAAGGCAATTTCAACTCGGTTCTGGTTTGAATAATTGAGCTATGCCACTGGCCTTTGCATCAGAGGGCAAAGCCCCACAGTTGCTGTTCTCTCTTTCGCTCAGCCTGGCTTCCTTTGAGAGGTGTTTTTCTTTACTAGCTTGTGGGGGAGAAGGGGACAACCAGGGATTTTCTAGGGCGGAGTTTCCCAGACTTCTCAACTTTAAGACGTGTGGATGTCAAATCTCAGAATTCCCCAATCAGCATGCCTTAAAATTGCTAAGGTTGAGAAACACCAATGTGGACATTATCCATGGTGGCGCAGTGGTTCGAGTGCAGTACTGCAAGCTACTTCTGCTGACTGCCGGCTGCCTGCCATTTGGCAAATCGAATCCCACCAGGCTCAAGGTTGACTCAGCCTTCCATCCTTCCGAGGTTGGTAAAATGAGGACTCAGAAAGTTGGGGGCAAGAGGCTGACTCTGTTAACTGCTTAGAGAGGGCTGTAAAAGCACTGTGAAGTGGTATATAAGTCTAAGTGCTATTGCTAAGTGTTATTGCTATCCTATCAAAACGGAGGCCAATTCTTAGCATCTTGTAACCAAAAAGGGAGAGTGTGGAAGAGAAGAGGTTGGGAGACCAGCTCCAGGAAATCAACATGTAATTTGGGATCTGATTGTGTCTATTGGAAAGAATGTCTGAACTGAAGTATTTATTTTTCTCTTACAGTTAAACCGCAGATACTGATCAGGGGGGAACATTTTTGCTCCAATAAAAGTAAGTTGCATGATTCTCCCAGCAGCCTTGAGCTTAGGAAGGAGGTATCAGAAAGAGGCAAAAAAGGCTAGCAGGAAAGGTGAAGAACTTTGCTGACCACCTGGCATGTATTTTGGATGATTACAGTTCCCCAGGGTCAAGGGATCCCCATTTGCAATGAGAAGATGGTTGACTTAATAACTGCAGTGGTTTGTGATTTAAACAAAGGTCACAAAATCAGGGGTGATTCACTTAAAAAAATCATGTAGCCTAACAATGAAAATTCTGGTCTCAAAGTCAAGGACTATTTATAGACATAGTATTGTTCAGAATTGCCCTGGAAGTAAGAAGCAATTCAAACTATTGTCCATTTCAAATAATTGTCTGTCTGTTTGTCTCATCTATCTCTCTATCTCGTCTCTGTCTATCTGTCTGTTTATCTCTCTCGTCTTTCTCATCTGTCTAATCCCTTGGTCTCTAGCTTATCTACCTCATCTCTCATCTATCTCCTTTCTCTATCTATCTATCTATCTATCTATCTATCTATCTATCTATCTATCTATCTATCTATCTATCTATCTATCTATCATCTTCCACCTTTATTATTTTCAACAGTAACTCAAGGTGGTGAACATACACAATACTCCTTCTTCCTCCTATTTTCCCCACAACAACAACCCTGTGAGGTGGGTTGGGCTGAGAGAGAGGGACTACCCCCAAATCATATGTTTCCTATTCTAATTATTTGGTAATTCAGGACTCGTGTTTAGGAGGAAGTCATGAACAAATGTTGTGAGATGGCATCAGTTTCTTCTCTAAATTGCAAACTAAGATATTTTTTTACCTGTTGTAAAAAAGGCATGTTAGTAAAATCACTCGAGCACATGTTGAGATTTCTAGGCATTGTTTTCTCAGGGTCTCTCTCAAATCTTGCAGGTCAGCAAAGCTTCAGAAACATTTCTCAGCTCAAGGTACAAAAAGGGGATTGCATCCGGCTACGCTGCAAGGTAAAAGGCAACCCTTTGCCCCAGGTGACTTGGGTTAACGGAACCAAAGTCTTGAAGACAAAACCCCGAGCCTTGAATGTCCTGGAGCTTCCTGATCTTAAACCGGAAGATTCTGGGAAGTACACGTGTCAGGCAGCCAACGAATTAGGCTCTGTTGAAGCATCCCTTGAGCTCTCCGTAACAGGTATGTGAGGCAATTTTGAGGGATGGAAAGAGGGATGGAAAATCTGGAATTATGGGAAGTCCTAGCACTTATCCTTGTATTCAGAAAGTATTCAGACTCCCTTCATTGCAAGATCTGCAAGGAAGAATGGGCAGAAAACCCATCAATCCAGACATGCAAAGTTTGTCGTGTCACACACCCCAAAAAGGATGTAATTACTGCCAAAGGTGCTTCAGCAAAGTACCGAGAGAAGGGCCTGAATGCTTATGCCAGTGTGATATTTCAGGATTTCCACCCCACCCCCCGCACCTCTTTTTAATAAATTTACAGACCTTTCTAAAATTTTGTTTTCACTTTGTCATTAAGATAAAGATAAAGGTTCCCCTCGGACATACGTGCTAGTCGTTTCCGGCTCTAGGGGGCAGGGCTCATCTCCGTTACAAAGACGTCTCCATGGTCATGTGGCTGGCAGGACTAAACGCCGAAGGTGCACGGAACGCTGTAACCTTCCCACCAAAGTGGTGCCTATTTTTACATGCTTTCGAACTACTAGGTTGGGACAAGTAACTCTGTTACACGGCGCCAGGGATTCAAACCACTGAACTGCCAAACTTTCTGACCAACAAGCTCAGCATCTTAGCCACTGAGCCACCATGTCCCTTGGTTTTGTTTCTTTGTTTGTTTGCTTCGTTATTATGGGGTACTAAATGTAGATGAATGAAGGGGGAAAAAAACAATGAATTTCAACAACGGTAGAATCAGGCTGCAGCATAATAATAATTGACAGAAGTGAAGAGGGGTCTGAATACTTTCTGAATGCACTATAGCCAAGAAGGGATGGAATTTGGGGAATGCTGGGGCAGGGTTCTTTCCTTTTTTAATTTATTTATATATATATATATCCTGCTTTTATTAATATTTTCATAAGCAACTCAAGGTGGCGAACGTATCTAATGTTCCCTCCTCCTCCTCCTTTCTCCACAACAACAACCCTGTGAGGTGGGTTGGGCTAAGAGGGAGTGAATGACCCAAGGTCACCCAGTTGGTTTTCATGTCTTAGCGGGATTATAACTCACCATCTCCTGGTCATTGACCCAAAATCACCCAGCTGGCTTTCATGTCTAAGGGGGAACTAGAACTCACCATCTCCTAGTGATTGACCCAAAATCACCCAGCTGGCTTTCGTGTCTAAGGGGTAGGGGATGAGAACTCATGATATCCTAGTCATTCAGTCAGCTCAAGGTCATTCAGTTGGCTTTCATGCTGATGATAGGATTAGAACTCATCATCTTCTGTTGACCATCCCAACTTAGCCAGCTGGTTTTCATGGTTAAGGATGGGACTAGAACTCACCATCTCCTGGTTTCTGGACTGCTACCTTAATCACTAGAGCAAACTGGCTCTGTATTTAAATCCAAACTGGATTAGAAAAACAACAAACTATTGAACTCTATCTGTTCTTCTGTCCGTCCAAAGACCCAATTAAAACCCTGCTTCTCAAGGTGACTGGTGCCCTTGTCGTGCTTGCTGTTATCATGATCATCACTGGGGTCATCCTTGCTTCTAAAAGGTAGGTAATTGTGGGAGTTTTTTTCTGGATTGATCGATGAACGATAAGGTTGAAAATATATGTTGGAAGATAATGTCATCTTCTGAATTTCAGGATATTCTTATTTGGCATGCTTACCATATTTTTTTGTAAAAAGAATAAAGGTGGGATATTAATGTGAGTAAATAAAAAAACACACATAAGCTATGGTTTCTCCTTAGCACTTGTAAAATGATAATAGTTATTCTGTTTACCCTGTTATACTGGTGAGTTTCATTTCAGGCTTACTATTGATTTGGAGGTTTTAAACTGAATGGAGTTAGACATGACTGGGGGAACATGGAAACTTTGTAAAATTGATTACAAAGATAGATAGATAGATAGATAGATAGATAGATAGATAGATAGATAGA